AACAAATCCAGGAAGAAATGCTACAATTTAATGCAAGTCGCATTTTACCAGCTCAGGTTCAGTTCTACTTATGGAGACTTTTTCCTTTTAGTCTATGGAGTTTATTCATTTGTTTGGAAACACAAACAAAGTATTTTTTTTTTTTTTTTAGTAAAAACATGGAATGTTGGATAGGAAAATTACAGCGCCCCCTGGGAGATATGGGGAATTTTTTTTCTTTTGCGTTCCCTCACTATAACGTATGTTAGTCAGCTCATGCGCTATTTAAAATCCTGAAAGGTTTTCTGGTACAAAATCATTTTGTAAGATTTTTCCAGGCATGTTCATGTCTTTTCAGGTTTCATACCTTTTTCTTGTGAATGCAGGCGCACTACAAACTGATCAAATCCATCCAAACTATTTTGTGTATTTTTGAGTTATTCTCACAGGGTTATATTTGCCATTTGACAGTTTTTTTTTGTTTTTTTTTGGTATAACTGTCTTTCTGTTTGCAGTCATCTCTCCACTGAGACATATTACACCAGCAAACACAAGCATCAAATTTTCTGCACCAAAGAGTTAAGAATGAACACGCTTTCACTGAGACCCTTTGAAGGTAGTTTTAGGTTTTAAGTTGACATTTTTCACTGTTGCTGCATACAGAATAGACCAGGATGTTTTCATAAATTTACTTCAAGGTGAGTACCTTGAAGGAACGCAAAAGAAAAAACGACTCCATGTTCCCTAAGACTTTTGGTTTTTTACAAACCAAAAGTCCAACCTGACTGGATATTATGGGAGAATAATGGGATTCAAGTAGCTTGAGACATCAGATTAAACTTATATATTCATCTTTTATTATTTTTATTCTTCTAAAATAGGAGTGTCGAGTCTCAGCAACATTCCTCGTATAAACCGCTTCCACTGGCTTGAATATTTGAAGAAAGCTGACTGTAGTTGTTTATGCCATCTCTCCATTTTATTGTTTTTTTTTATTCTTATAGTGAAAAATGAAATCTTCAAAAGCAGAACATTTGATTCATCAATAAGTAGCTAAGATTTGAAGGAGGCAAAGCTGAGTTTATTGGAACCGTCTTCTCAACATCTTCACTCTGTGGGAATGTTTTATCGTTGAGTCGACACCAAAGATCTTGAATGTATCTGTTTAATGCCCTTCCTGTCATCCCCATAGCAACCAATTACATGTAGACCTGCACCCATCAGACTCTTGTAGCCAGTTTCAGATCCCTGGGATTCGGAAAGCTTTTGTCGACTTCAGCTGATTCCACTTTCTCATTTAGGACTTTAAGGATGACAGAATGGTCATTAATTATTTATTTTACCAGCCAAGATGATGTGGCACCGCCGTGTGAGTAAAACTATTTGAGAAAATGGACAAAGCATGGGTTTTATGCGGTTTGCACTATGTTAGATCAGCAAGTAGCCTGGCTAGCAGTAATAATCAGCTGGTCCTGGAAATGAAATAATGTCTTTATGCCAAATTTGATTTCCAATGTTAATTGATTTTTTTAAAAATAAATTATGATTGACAGAAAAAAAAACCCATTGGAGCATTGGTGAAAAAAAAAATCTACATTTTTCAAAAATTCCACAACAAAAAATTCAGTTAATCCATAAAATGGCTTCAATACCAGCTCTGGCAGGTCTGTGTGTCTTCTTTAGAGAATATAAATTTTATTTTAGGAGAATCATAAAAGATGAGCAACATTTCCAGACCCAGTGTTCCTCATAACAGACGGCGGCTGAATATGATAAAACCATAAATCTTTGCTGTAATTCGCTCAGCTGTTACCTTTCTAAAACAAAGCGTTCTCTTTGTCATTTCTAAATGTTTTTGACGTCTCTGTACTTGACGCCACACCACAGGAACAACTTCCACACTGAAGAGTGTTGCTGCTACTCTGTAGCGCTTAGGCTTCGGTAAGGCGCGTTCACTGTTTGGAAAAAGAGCCGACTTTAGCATTTCAGACCAACATCAATTTCTCTGTTTGCCTCCAGTCATATCGTCACCTTCCTAAAATAATGATGGCTATAGTGTTTTTTTTTCCTTTGCCAAAAGATGATTTGGAAAGAAAAAATATATACATTCATTTTTGGCACAAAAAAAAAACAACACTCCGGCCGTTATTTTAAGCAGATGACAACATGGAAACTAATCATCTATGCATCCTTAGCTGAGCTGTCATAACTCATTAACTATGCATCTAATTTAAAGATTTTTTTCTTCAATATCTGCTGAGATGGAATAGTGGGGGGAGCCTAATCGGATCAATTGAAGCTGACCAATCAGAGGAGAGCATCCAGTAAGACCCTGATGGCAGAGAGCAGCCTTGTGCGCTCATCAGTATTCTAGCTTCTATTTTTCTAGTTTAGGATAAAAATCAGTGTTTGACTTCTTCTCATCCATATGTATTAAAAAATGTGCAGAGATTATATATGTATAGAAGGAGAAAAAAATAATAATTTTTTTTAATATTGCAGAGATATTTTTGGTATAACTGATAAAAAAAAAACCAACAAATTTAAAACGTTTAGAGCTAATGGGAGGTTAAAAAAAAAAAAAAAAGCAAATCTAGTTCAACGTGAATGTTTTAAATCTGCAGCCTTGACCCTCCCTCTGCAGGTTGGAGTTTAACCATCAGTAAACAGAGCCAGGGGAGTTAGTGTGTGCATGACTTGGGCTATTTGCTGTTTTGTGTCAGTAGGTGATTAATAAAAGAGAGGGGGGGAGATGAAGAATATATATTTTTAATTGATAAAAATCAGCGTTTAACTGACCGGTAAAGCTTTGCATGTTTTTTTTTTCTAGTTAGGTTTTCTTCAAATGATTCAGAGTTGAATTTTTCGCCCCCACAAGGTTCGATTTTCAGCTAATGACAGGTGGACGTGTGACAGGAACTGCTGGATGGACACTAAACTTCACTTATTTTAACTTTAACATCTAAGATTTTAGATATCTTATCTACATAAATGCAAAATAAAGAATGAAGAAAAAAAAAAAAAAAACTCAAGTAGTGTTGATGCATCCGGATCTGGTCCAACAAAATGTCCGCCCGCAGGCAGAATAAGTGCTGACAGCAGCAGAAAATGTAATAAACATAATTTCTTCAGAATTTAGACTTGTTGTTCTGCTCTTAAGTAATCAAAATCTATGCTTTCATTTACTTAAAAGTCAAGTTATTTTTTTGGATTTGTTTGTACGTCAAGATTTCATACAGTTTCTTCCATTAGCGTGGACAGTTTTTTTTTTTTTTTTTTTTTTTTTTTTTAAATCTTGGGTGATGCATAACGTAAATTATCCGACGTCAAACCTTTGGAGTTTGATTTGTATCGATCCTTTCCAAAGTACATATCTATTTCAGCGCTGAACTCCGGGTCAGAGATGTCCGTTTCCCTCTCCTGTCCAGCAAGGGGAGATGGGAAATACTGTCATGATGAATTATTTCTTCCTCTGTTGATTGGAACAACTGAGTTATGTCAGGATGAGAAGGACCTTCTAGGCTCTCTGATTGTGATTTCTTGTAAATCATCTATTTATTCATGACACCAGCTTTATTTTGGTGGGTCTAAATAGCTTGTGTATTTAAATAATAAAATTACTTTTGTGAAAAAAAATGTCTGTGATGTGCTTTTCTTTTCTTCTTTAAAGTAAACCTGACTGGTGGGGATAAATACAGACTCATTTTGTTTTAGGGATTTTAAAATCTCTTGGTTATTTCTGCATTCATTCATTTTCACCGATGCTGGGTTATTTGTCCTTTTTAATTGGAAGTAATAATTTCCTGTACCTTTTCCATACAGAGTGTTCCAGCTGTAAATATTGAGAGAGCAGCATAAATAAGTGCAAAATTATGAGGTGGAAAGGGAAAAAAAAAGACTGGTTTTCAAACAATTCAGTTCAAATTCCGACCTTTACTTTGACACAGCCATATAAAGCCCTGGTTAACCAGCTCCCTCCAGAATTCACTGATCTGCTGAAAATGAGTTGTAGTCCTCAAAAATCTGACTTTCATGGACAAGGAGCGAAAGGAGAGCCAGAAGAAATCCTCTTTGCAGTTTAATGCCAGACTTTAAAGCTGCAGCATGTAACTTTCATTTTAAAAAATTAGCTTTTTGTTGTTTTATTTATTATGAAAGCTCCGTACTGCAGCGGTAAAGTCGACCCAGCACTTATCAGATCAGAACCAAACTGAACTTTTTGGCCTTCAGTGGAAAAATGACATTACTCTGATGTGGTGGTGGCAGCATCATGCTGTCCTTCAGAAGAAAGAAAAACTGGTCAAGTTGGATGGAGGTAAATTCAGAGCACTGCACTGCTTCATGTTTGCCTCTCAAATTCAAATAAAATGCATTTAGATTTGTGGTTGCAGTGAGATAAGATGAGGTTAGAAATTCTTTCGCCAGGTTCTGCAGTGATCGCTGTAAACTGGTGACCCGATGAAATCTGCTGGGTTTCCTTTTTAAACTGCTTTGAATAATTAATTGAGCATATTGCACCGTTTGATAACTAGGATCAACTGGATGGTATGTGTGATTGAATTAAACTTTTTTTTTTTTTTTGCAAAGTGCCTTTAAATGGCATTTGCTATGTAAATAAACTGAACATTCCTAAAAATAAATCAGATAAGAACCATATTTTATGCGAAACTTTTTCTTTTCTTTTTTTTATTGATTATGTAAGTAACAGCAGATTTCAAACACTTGTTACCCAACTGTATTTATGTAATCTGTTGACTTGGATCGATGGTGTCATGCATAACCAGTGTATGCTCTTCTTGTTATGCATGACACCAGAAGAAAATCACTACTTATAAGAGATCATTTAATCAAAATTAGCCTAATATTTTATAAAAGAATCAAATAACTCCAGTTTATTTATTTTGTTTGTTTTTTTAGCTCTCCTGAAGGTTTCAGCAGGTAACCAGTGGGAGCGGGGTGAAAGTCCACCTTCCTTTGTGAGCACATGTGAGAGAAAGTGAGTGGAGGCGTGGCATTTTCACCCGTCTACCTGTCTTTACCTCCTTCAGTTCTCATTCGCAGGCAGCAGCAGCATCGGAGAGACGCTTCAGCCGAGACATGAGCGGACGAGTCGGAGACCTGAGCCCTAAGCAGGCCCAGACCCTAACCGAGGTCAGAGATGATTCCCCAATCTGGAATATCTGCTGGAAATTCTGGGAGGTTTTTTGGAAATGACTTTGAAATGACACGAGGCTGATATCTTTTGGTTTGCATTGATCCAACTTCAGATGCTCTCCCAGTGAAAACTTTGAATATGTTATGTGCTAATGCTCTGTGTTAAAACTTACAAACCCACAATCACATGTAGTTTCTTGAAACTTCATTTGTTTTTCTGAATAATTTTTATCACAGGTTGCGCAAAGTTCCTCCTTATGGGTGAGAGTTGTTTGTTCTCCAATAACATTTAAATAACCATGTATTACAATAAATGGTTTGCTTTTATTTGAACTTAAAAACTAAAAGCAGATGAGCTTGGATTTGAAAACGTGTGTATTTAGGTTTATCCACATAATTTTAGTGAAGCAAAAATGGATTTAGTTTGACAATAATGACTCTTTTTAACAATGAGCAAAAATAGAAACTTTTATGGTGCAAAGTGTAACCATGTAGCTACAAACAAAGAACTAATATGGACAGGAGGGCTGTTAAAAAGTCCATAAAATGTTTTAGATCATCAGAGAAGGACAACCTGATGATCTGAAACATCTTCATGCATTTCCTGATTTTTGAGGAAATACAAAAATCAGCTTTGAAATGACGGTTTCATTTGAGGGGAAAAGCTTTCCAAACCATCCTGCTTGAAAACTGATCAGTCCCTATAGCCATTAACCTGCTGCTCCACTGCTGGTATCACAAACATCAAGTGTTTGAAGTAATAATGAGTCAATTTACATCCCTGAGGGGATTTTTGATCCAGTCTTCTTTGCAGAATTGTTGTAATTCAGACATATTGGAGAGTTTTAGAGTCTGTTTAAGGTCAAACTACAGCATCTACCTCAGATTGAAGCCCACACTTTGACTGGGCCACTCTGACACTTTCATTTAGGTATTTTTTCATTTTATTTTCTTCCTATTCAAAAGTGGACTTGAGTGGACAAATACAAATACTGTTTTTGAAGAAAATTCACATTTAAAACAGGCTTCTTTAGGATACTACTTTATTAAAGAAGTGAGATTTTTATCACTAAACTAAGCATAATAACTGCATTTAGTCATATTTTTGGATTTACCGATAGTTTTGTTTTAAATTGTTAGTTTTAATGTTTGTTTTGGTACCACTTGGTGCAAGATGTATTACTGTAAGCTCTACAATTTATTTATTTATTTTTTTTTAGTCTCTGTAGCACTTTGAGATTTCTTTGAAATATAAGGTGCGTTACAAATAAAATTTATTATTATTATTATTATTATTTAGCAACGCTCTCGTGAACAAAGTGGAAAAAAGAGTAAAAATAACATTTACGATAACACTGCCAGTTTTGTCTTTTGTTTAATGTGATTAATTGAATTTTATTGAGAAGATCAAATCTAAATTCTTCTAGGAAATTCTTCATGATAACTGATAAACGATAAACAATATCCCACTGGCCCACTGCTAGATTGCATGCCAAACAATGCTTTGAGGGTTTTTTTGCATGTTTATCCCAGTTTCTGCGGACAGAGCTACTCCAGCAGCCCACAAAGGTTTACTTAAGCTGCTTTTTCTTCTTTTTAACTCTTTGTGACTAAGAACTGCGCCTTGGCTTTTCTTTCAGTTTCGGGAGAGGATTCAAGATGTTCTCCCCAGCCTGCCGGCTCAGCATGACCACTACCTCCTCCGCTGGCTTCGAGGTGAGTCTCAGACATCCAGGTTCACCTGTTCAGTGCTTTCTGGACACTGATTATAGATTTAGGGAACACAGTTTGACCTGTTGGTCTCCGTTTGCAGCCGATCAAGGATAAGTCGACCTATGTTGCTCTGTGATTGAACTGATTGATAATAAAATAAGGTGCAGTTCAGTCTTGTTAATACAGTTTTAAATGTATTTATATAGTTCCAGCAGCATTTTGGAATCAAATTGCTGCCAGTGTTGTGCTGCAGTTGAAGGTTTTACAGTAAAAATTAACACAGGCTCATGAGGTACATAGACTTGATAGATTTAGTTCTTTTTCAGCCATACTGGTCACTCAAAGGTCAGTATGAGGGACACTCAGAAATATTCAGAACTACTGCACTGCTCAGTGGCCAAAAAGCAGCAGCTTCAAGACCAACATGATTGGTGCTTCACTAATATCTGAAAAATAGATTCAAGGATTGACTTTAATATTTTGGGTACACTTTGTTGCCAACGGTTGTCAACGTAGTACGCTTACTCTCATATCCGCCGCTTATTGTGTTTGACCTCTTCGCAACGCAGCTCACGCCTTCTGAAAGGAAAGCAGTTTCCTCTGACTCAAACCAAACAAAGGCAGAGGCCTACAGCCAAACCTGTTCCTAAAGTGACACCGTATCCAATTTCTCTAGAGGTCTGGGGGAAAAATACCAGAGCTAGAGGCTACAGTATTTACACCTGCGGGCTGAAGGAGATTGTTGGTCTTCTTTTCCTTTTCACACCAATATTCACTGTTTGAGTATTTCAGACAGTGGTATTTTTTACAGGTATTTTCACACAAGATTTTCAATCCGTAAGTATCTATTTCTGCATTGTGCCTTACATAAAGTCGTATTGAAAATAATTTATTTCACTTGCTTAGATTATTTAGGTACAGACTGATGTTTTTAAGCCTTTATTTCTATTAATTATGATGATTTCCCACTTCCAACCGATGACAACCCAACATTTAAGATTAGAATATTACATCGCACTAATGAAAATATACATGAATGTGTGCTTAATGAAATGTAAGTTTAATGCCTGCTTTACATGTTATTTTCTACAGGTACTTTTAATCAGAAGAAATTTTAATTTATTAAATATGATCGTATATTTGCACAGTTTTGGCCTTAGTGGGAAAAAAATACCTCTACTCGCCCCACCCCCTCCATCAGTTGGAGGGTCAGTGGATTGCAGAGAGTGACGCAATTATTTGATTAAATGAACAAAATGAGTCCTTATTACATTATTATTATACATTAGTTTTATACATTATTTTTTAACAACCTTTTAAACGTGAGATTTTAATCACCGCAAATTGTGAAATTTTGTGTTTTTTGTTTGTTTTTTTTTTACATTTGTAGAGTATCTAAATAGTTTTACACTTTTTGTAGTTGGACAAACAGTTCATTAGTCTGGTTCTTTGTTCAAAAACTTTTGTAAACAAAACTGTTTTCAGTCCTGATTAAAAGGACCAACTGTTTCTGCATATCTCAGGTTTTCAGGGAGTTTGTTCCAGAGCTGAGGACCATAAAAACTAGACACTGCCTCATCTTGTTTAGTTCAGTTATTAGGTCTCTGACAACCTGAGAGGTCTGCATGGCTCATACTTGACAAGCATTTCAGAAATTTATTTCTGATTTTGTTATTATATTTAATCCATCATGTAGTATTTTGATCGTGTCTCTGTTAGAGATATTTAAATCTAATTCAGTCTTGTTCATCTAATTCTTCTTTTCAAAAATGACTGAAGCTTCTAGAAGCTGTCTCTTTTAAAACGCAGAATTAAAATGATATTCAGGTCATCGTGATTGAATGAAAACTTCTGATTACAACATTAACCTTATGTATTTTTGGGGAATGTCTCATTAACGGTATTTTGGCAGCAAAGAATTCATCATGTGGTAATTTGAAGAAAAACTGTTTTCTCAATCAGCTCCAGTTGTTCTCTCCCTAAAAAAAAGTCAAAATTGCATAGAAAAAGTAAGTCTATAAAATTATGTTTCAGTAGCTCTGCTACTGTAATTTTATGTTTCTGTCAGAAGCTTCTAGCAGCTGTGGTCTGTCTGGTTAATGGTCCACAGTCAGAGCAGGCTGAGATCGATGTCCAGAGGTGGGTGGGTGGGTGTGTGTGTGTGTGTGTGTGTGTGTGTGCGTGTGCGTGTGTGTGTGCGTGCACCACCTGTTGACTTTGACCAGTTTCTCTGCTCGCTTAAAAACAAGCTGACAGTTTGAAACTGTGTCAAAGGCACTTATTTCTCAACATCAAGAAGCATAGAAGTTATATGAACTGTTGGGAGTATATGCATATTTCTATGTGTGAAATATAAAAAAAAATACTTACAATGAAAGCACCTAATCTCCTCTGCATTAATTTCACTGTTGTTATTTTGAAGACAGCAACTGATGTGAACATTGTTGTTCCTGAAAGGTGAGGTTATTCTCTTCCCACCATCCAGAAACTTCATTTTGTGTCCCCAAAATTATCCATTCCAAATCCATCACACTGTTTCACGTTAAATAAAACTAAAAAAGAAAGTGAATAAACATTCCTTACTTTGGATTAATTTAACACTATTTCTCCTGTGCTTGTTTTGGAGTGAGCCTATGGAAGCTATCTTATCTCATTTATGCTTTAACATAAAACACAGATACTAAAAAGATATCTTGCTCTGCTTCAAGTGATAGGCATTGAATATACATTTAAATGATTTTTGCTCCAGAGAGTGAGCCTGTGTTGAAAACAATTCTGGGCCACAGGTTTTGCCTTGAGGGTGTGTACAGATCGGCCAATGACGGTATGCGGATATGGGAAAAGCAGTGATTGGTTGAAATCGCTGGCCCACACACTTTCATACACAAACACATGTTATGTCTCTCTACCTTTACAAGGTCTTCGTATTGACTTCCATTCATTTCTATAGCCTATCCCTGACCCTTAACCATCTCTAGACCATAGCTAACTCACACCTTTGTCCTAAACCTAACCCTTAACTCCAAAGCGACTCTTCTCTTCATGGAGCAGTGGGTCCTCATAACATATGTGTAGGAACATGGTCCTTACAATATACAAATACAAGAACACAGACACACATGCACTCAACTGCATGCAGCAGGAAATGGACTTTAGCACAAGATCTGCCATCGGAGCAGGTGCCACTAGAGAAGAGGTGCACGTTTGTATTTCTACCCATATTTAGGACTTAGTACTGGCTTCTATTCATTTTAGTAACTGCTCTTACCCTCACACCAGTACCTGTATATTCCTAATTCAAACCTTAACCAAAACTTAATTTACACCATACCTTTAAACCTAACCTTTATCCCTGAAAAGGGTGCTCACCCACTTCAGGTCAGGCTTTGGCCCCCATAAGGCGCATTGGTCTTCAGAAGGTTATTGAATGTACTGGAAAAGTTCCTAAAAAAGCAGCACAGACCTCTTTAGAGCGTAACTTAGATAAAGACCCAAAAGGAATCAGAAACTGTTGTTAGGGGACATTTTGCTGTGTTAGACCACAAGGAAAGCAGGGCAATGGACCAGCGCTGCACTTTCGTCTTATTAAATGGAATTCAAGAATTCAACTCACTGACTCTTCTTGAACCTCCTACATTAAGAACCTAAATTGAGATAATTTCCACAATTTGGAGGCACTGCTGAGATTTGAACCCAGAATCTCCAGTTTACCAAACAATTTTCTAGAAACACGTGAATTTTAATTCAATTTCCTTTATCAAATTTGGGGGCTTTCTTTTTCTCCCCTGAAGATATAATAAAATTATTTATTCCCAACAGTTCAAATAACTTCTCTGTTTCTTGTTGTTAAGAAATAAGACCAAACAATGTCTCAAAAAGGTCATCAGCGTGGAATATCAGGGAATATTTCCTGACACCAGTGTCTCCTTCAAACTGGTGTGAAGGAGACATAACTACCAAACCAAAGAATAACTGCATGTGCTCTGTGCTGACTGAAATAAAACGTACATGTTTTCACATGGATGCTCTCTCTTCTGTTTCTCTCTTCCCAGCTCGTAACTTCAATCTTCAGAAATCAGAGAACATGATCAGGAAGGTGAGATTTTTGTGATCTCTCTGCTTTGTACCTGACTCATCTCAAGCCTTTACATTTTTCATACACAGTTTTTAGATTCATGTAGCAAATATTGCTTTTTACTTTATTGATTTTTACCTACAGAGTGCACAAGGAGGTTATATAATATGTAGCATTGTTAATAATTGAACAGGAATTTCTCAACTGTTTTTGTTTTTGGTCTCCATTAGTGAACTTTTGACAGCTGAGCATGTATAAATCTGCAGTGGAGATTATAATCTCTTCTGCCAACATTAGTTGAGGCGGCAGCATCAGAGCTACAGAAGCTCAACAACCTGATAAAGAATGCTGGTTCTGTTCTGTGGAGTGTCTGGAGATGACGATGCACATGGACAATCCATACTTTTCTGGATTACCCATAAAATCCAGAAAAGTCTCAGCAACCCTGCCCGTCTTCTTTATGAAACTTTTGTATAACAAAAGAGGGTTTTCAGTCAGAGGGTTTCTCAGATATGCTGTGATACTGACTGCTGTAGGAGATACTTCACAGCCACCATCATCTACAATAAGTCTTTGAAGAAAATTGTGTTCTATGTCATTTCATTTCTCTCGGGGGTTAAGAAAGAATTTCTGAACTGAATTTGGTTGTGCTGGAGTTTTTCGTCATTAGTTTTACTTCCTGGTTTTTGTGAGACTCATTTCTTCTTCTGCTTCCTTTTCCTCTTCTTACAGCATGTGGAGTTCAGGAAGCAGATGAAAGTGGACACCATCATAGCTGACTGGAAGCCTCCAGAGGTAACTTGCCCCCCCCTGCCCCTCTCCTCCGCTCGTCTTCTCAGGCGTCTGAGACGCACTCTGTTGTCTCGTCGTTTGATCCTTGTCCTTGTCAAGGTTATCGAGAAGTACGTATCCGGTGGGATGTGCGGCTACGACCGAGAGGGGAGTCCCATCTGGTACGACGTGATTGGCCCTCTGGACCCCAAAGGCCTGCTGCTGTCAGCCACCAAACAGGACTTCCTGAAGACGAAGATCAGACACATCGAGATGCTGCAGCGGGAGTGTCGGAGGCAGTCTGAGAAGGTCTGGGACAAGCTCTCCTCTCATGTCTAAACCTAGACTCACTTTTTTCCCTCCCTTTGTACCACATTTTTTTCACCTTCAAACTTTGTTTTTCCCTTTATCTGTTTCTATTCTCTTCCCCTTGTCTCTTAATTTTTTGTGAGAAACACAAGAATGTTTGCTTCTCCTAAAACTGTTTTTCACAAACATGTTTTGTAATTGTACGTGTCGCATTTTGAGCTCACGTCACAGCATAGAACTTGAAATTGCCCCCACAACATTTTAATATATGCAACTTGAAATGAAAATATAAACCTCTTAATGCACTTAAGAGATCTTCTTTGCTCATCCTAATGAGAACTGTGATTCTTGTTTTGTAAATATGACTGGCCAAGACACATAGACATTTTGTAAACTCAAATGCCTACTGAGGCATTTTTGAGTTTACAGATTCTGAAAGTGTTGATTCTAATCTTTGTTTTCTCTTAGCTTGATGTAAATAATTTTTTTAGTTTAGGTGTTATAGATGCAGTTAGTCAGCATGGGGTGCAACGCTCCTCACATCCTTGTCACCGTCATATCACACTCAGGCCAGGGGGACCTCTGCGTGCCAGTGGCGTACTATGTATCATAATGCTATTCTAAAAACAAAAGTTCTGCAACTCACCCCGAGAAACTGAAAAATATCCCTGCAGACATGAATTTCTCTGATCATGTAGTCCAGGTGACGTTTTCTTCCTACCAGTATCTTCAGCTTTTCATTTGAGTGATTCAGTCTTAAGCTATTTATCCATTATAATTTTTAAACGCAATCCTTTGGTAAGGTAACTGTACGTGTCGCACTCTGAGCTCACATCACGCCAAATAACAGTCGTTTAAATGCAGTACATTGCGGACCACTAGGGGGCACCTAGAGACCACAGGTTGAGAAAGGCTGACCTAGACTCACTTTTTTTCTTCCATTTTCTTCACCTTCCTTCCAGGTTCAAACTTTTTTCCCTTCCTCTGTTTCCATTCTCTTCCCCTCATATTTCCTCTCCTCGTCTCTTCCTCTAACATGTCCTCTCTGTCTGTCTCAGCTCGGGAAGAACATAGAGTCCACCACTCTGATTTATGACTGCGAAGGACTTGGACTGAAGCACATTTGGAAACCTGCTATTGAGACTTACGGAGAGGTTTGTCGCTCGCTCTCACATTCATCACACGCTGTTTCTCAAAGCCTTAATCTGTGTCTGAGCTGCTCTTTATCTCCTGCAGGTCCTCACCATGTATGAAGACAACTACCCTGAGGGGCTGAAGAGGGTGCTCCTCATTAAAGGTACCTCACCAGATTTGCGACATGGTCTCGCTATTGTTCAAGTTGTGTTTTCAAGTTGAAGTTGAAGAATTTCTTTATTTTGTTATTTTTGTTGCAGCTCCTAAAATGTTTCCGATGGCCTACAACTTGATCAAACACTTCCTGTGTGAGGAAACGCGACGGAAAATCGTGGTTTTAGGAAGTAAGATGACTCTCCTTCCTATCTCTTTAAACTATAACATCTCTGACATTGCTATGTTTAATGCTAACTTTTATTATTCCTTATATTAAATTATATTGGTTTCTGCTTTTTATTACAGAATTAATAGTAATTCTGCAATAAATAATAATAGTAGCTATAAATAAATAATCTATTATTTAAGACATTGGACTCAAATTATAAGATTACCACAGGACTATAACGCAAACACGGGGAAACATATGATGGAATATTAGGCTAAGAATTTTTTTTATTATTTAGAAAATAAAGTCATAATATTACAAGAATAGAATCATAATAATACAAGCATCAAATCATAATATGTCAATAAAGTGGTAATAATACAAGAATAAAGTCATAACAATGCGAGATTAAAGTCAAATTACCAGAATAAACTTGTAACAATATGAGAATAGTTGTACTAAAGCAAAAGTAAAGTCATAATTAATGAGAACAAGGTTGTAATAAAACTTTATTATTTGTAACATAATCTGTAATTATGTTACAAATTATGTCCAAATTATTTATTTCCTTCATTCCTATGGTTTTATTGACTTTTTCTCCTAATTGTTTGGCTGTTTGCAGGTAACTGGCAGGAAGTCCTGCGCAAGCACATCGACCCGGACCAGCTTCCTGTGGTGTACGGAGGAACCCTGACTGACCCGGACGGAGACCCTCGCTGCAGAACGATGGTGAGAAGAGAAACCCTCAGACAAGATCCAGTTTGTTTGGAAGGTTCTGACCGAAATGATTCATCCGTTGTGCTTCTAGATCAACTACGGCGGGATCGTTCCCAAGTCTTACTACGTGCGGGAGTCGCTGAAGGTTCAGTATGACAGCAGCGTCACCATCAGCCGCGGATCAAGCTTGCAGCTGGAGTACGACGTCGCTGCCCCCAGCAGCCTCCTCAGGTATGACAGCAGGTGCAGAAATCTGGTCTGAAACACACTGAGCAATAACACGCATTAAGAAAAACTCTTTTTGATCTCAACAAAAATTTGGGAAAAATGTGTTAAGAACTTTGTAGTTATTGATAGATTCTTGTTTATTTTAGAAAAAAAATACAATACCTTCCCTTAATACTACATTACATTATGTATTTTTAATTAAAACGTACAAACTTGAGTATCTTCTGTCCTTGCAGCTGCACTGTCTCCATCCATCTACGTCTCATTAATCTGTCTTTTTTTCTAGTTTCAACACGTCAGTTATGTTTTAGTACATGTAGGGAATGTGTTTTAAAAAACAAATGTATCAGTAGAATAAGACGCAGTTCTGTTCCCTGCTAGGTGGCAGTTTGCCAGCGACGGAGCAGACATCGGGTTTGGAGTGTACCGGCGCACCAAGGACAGCAGGAGTCAGAAGGTAGCCGAGATGGTGCAGGTTCTTCCCAGTGAGCGGTACAACGCCCACCTGGTCCCAGAAGACAGCTGGCTCACCTGCTCGGAGCCAGGAGTCTGTGAGTAACCGCTCGTTTTCCTCAGGTTTATCTGGATGTTTGTCAAGAAAATTGGTCAAAATGTATGTATCTCTGCATATGTATGTAAGTGTGAATGGGTGAATGTGGCTTTGGTGTAAAGAGTTTTGTGTGGTCAGTGTGTTACAAATGTGTCTGTATTCTCTGCTAGCTGTTGCTAACCGCATCCCTTGTCCCTTGCAGATGTGCTGTGTTTTGACAACAGCTACAGCATCCTCCAGTCCAAGAAGGTTAGCTACAACGTGGAGGTGATTCCTCCTGCGGATGAACAGCTGGAGACTCTGTGCAGCAGAGGGGACGTGGGGCTGCAGTGAGGATACGCAAACATTTACATCTCACATTTTGGTCACCTCGCTGCCTCACGACGACTGGATTTAACCTCAGCATCTCTCAGTGCACTGCATGTTAGTTCCTAATTGTTTGGAGCCTTAATTGTAAAGTTGATTAATGTGAGGATGAGAAGCAGTACTGTGAATGCAGTGCACTGAAACCGTGCCAAAATGATTCAGAACTGAACCACAGGTCAGTTCAAGCAGTCCAGCTGAGATTCCATAGTTATCAAAGTATGCATTGCATTTACTAGATTATAATAGTTAGATTATAAATACACATGTTAATTAATAATAATTTTTTCAGATAATATTTATTTTTGGATCAATTTCCTGCAAGATTTGCTTGATCATGAACACAACACATTTACACTGCCATCTACAGGCCAGTTTTGGGTGATCCAAAGTCACCAGTAACAGCTGCCTCACACCAGCTGGTTGTGTTTTCAGCACTTTGCTGAACTTTATGGAGTTCTGCTTTTAAAGTCGATGTGTATAACAGTAGGACCTGTCCTCTTCACCAGCGGTGGAGCTAGAAATTGCCCGTTGCTCACTCAGGAGTGGCCAACAACTGAGCGACGCCGGAGTTCAGAGCACAACATCAGTATTTTCCAAATTCAATTCAAAAATACTGTATTGATTCCACAGGGAATTCCAAAGAGAATAAGTGATTATTCATATTTTTAAGTTAAGTAAATATCTAGTTTTAATATTCTTGGTGTGCAATCTGTTAATGAAACCACTTGACTGATCTTTATGTGTTGAGCAGCCAAAAATAAAAGATAAAAAGCAGGCGGGAGATGCCACTGAAGTATTGACTCTGCAAGCTAGAAACTGTTAGGGCATGTCATAAATATGTAATAATTTATTTTAATTTATGAACGCTTCATTATGTCAAGGTTAATGTTGAAATGTTGCAATAAAAACCTATTGTGTTTAAATATGCCAAATTGCTTTTATTTGTATTGAACTTTATTTTATTTTTTCCACAAATCCCCTTTCCCGTTGGGCCTTTTAAATGTATGAAATTCACTTAATAACTCTGACCGATATTTTCTTGATCAGAATCAACTTGATTCGCCAAGTTTGTGCACACAACAGATTTGATTTCAGTACCGCTGAAATCCGCTTATATTTTATAAATCATGTAAAATTCAGAACTATTAAACCTCAGTTGTCTCGCTCTTTCAGCTTCTGTCGAGCTCTGATTGCTAATAATTACTGCGTCCACCAGGTGGCGCTTCAAGACAAGACAAGGGATTATTGGATGTATTACGTAATAGCTGATCAGTGAATATTAGGATCTAACTAATGATAAAAACAATACAACTAGCAAATATCAAAACGACTCTGAGGGCGGATTAACATCGAGACGAATAATTTTTAAATTTTAAATTAAATTTACAGATTTGCTTTTTTTTTATTTTATTTTTTTACTTTGTTATAAAATAAAATCCGCATTGTTCCACAGAGACATCCTGGTTATGTAACAGAAATATAATTAATAGTGTAAGCACAAGAGGGACTCCGGCTGTGGAGGAGTGTGTGTGCCTGTGGTGGTTATGTCGGTGCTTCCAGCATCCCGGACCGGGCTCGATGCCAGGGGGATGCGGGATGATGCTGGAGGCGGGAGGGAGGAGGGGGTTGGTACATATGCCCTGTGAGTTTTACATAACATCAGCTGGCTCACACATCAAATGAGTGACAAACCGCTGGCCGCAGCACAACAGACAGCGTCCCTCCTGCCGCGTGCCGCAGTGCCCGGTGTCCAGCAGAGAGGAGGGGAGAGAGCGCGCGCTCCTGGCTCTGCGTCACGTAAAGGATACAGTTGGAGGGGGGCACGTTTGTTTACCAGCCATACCTGTCGTAGTCCGGTTGGCGCTGTTGCCGTTTGTGTGTGTGCATGTGTGTGTCTCCGTGAGTAAAGGGAGATGGAGAGAGAGATGGAGGGCCGGAGGGAGGCGGAGCCGCTCGGACATGAGTAAATGACGTCAGCTCTCAGGTCGCCGAGCAGAGAAACAAACATGGCGACAGAATGGAGCGGGCAGCAGGGTTACATTCTCACCGTCATTATCTGCCTGTGGAGTGCGGTCGGCGGCCGGACAGAGACTGCGGCGGCGGCTGGTTCCGCCCGGGTCAGCGGTGCGAGCCAGGTCCTCGGCATGCGGCTCGAGCGAAGCGACAAGCCGTCCAGCACCAATGACGACGGTGTCATCCAGGTGACCGAGGAGAGCACTGTGCAGCTCCGGTTTTACGGGGTGCAGCTCCACTCGGGTGCCTGGACGCAGATCCGCTTCACGGAGCTAGCGGACGGCGGCGACGAGGAGGAGGAGGATGAGCAGGAGGAGGCGGTCGCGGCGGGCAGGGGAGGCAGCGGCATGATGGACACGCCGGATAGGACTTGTGTCGACTTCACGAAGGACATCAAAGTCGGGAGCTACATGAACGTGAGCAACCGGGGGACGTCCGGGGTGCTCAGCGTGCAAGTTAAGCCGCTGCGCAAAAGCGAGCCGCAGAAGGAGTACGCTTTGTGCACGCTGAGCGAGGATGGCACCAGGTGGGTTCTGCTGGGGGAGAGCGACGGCAGGTTCCTGGTGGTGGAGGAGAAGAAGTCGCTGCTGCCCATGTGGCTGCAGGTCATCCTCATCTCCTGCCTGCTGGTGCTGTCCGGGATGTTCAGCGGCTTGAACCTTGGCCTCATGGCGCTGGATCCCATGGAGCTGCGCATCGTCCAGAGCTGCGGCACCGACAAGGAGAAGAAGTACGCCCGGAAGATCGAGCCCATCCGGAGCAAGGGGAACTACCTGCTGTGCTCCCTCCTGCTGGGCAACGTGCTGGTGAACACCACCCTCACCATCCTGCTGGATGACCTGATCGGCTCCGGCCTGGGCGCGGTGGTGGCCTCCACCATCGGCATCGTCATCTTCGGGGAGATCGTCCCCCAGGCGCTGTGCTCTCGCCACGGACTGGCCGTGGGAGCCAACACCATCATGGTCACCAAGTTCTTCATGCTCATCACATTCCCGCTCTCCTTCCCGATCAGCAAGCTGCTGGACTACCTGCTGGGCCAGGAGATCGGCACCGTGTACAACCGAGAGAAACTGGTGGGGATGCTGAAGGTGACGGAGCCCTACAACGACCTGGACAAGGAGGAGCTGAACATGATCCAGGGAGCGCTGGAGCTCCGGACCAAAACGGTGGAGGACGTGATGACGCCCCTGGCGAACTGCTTCATGATCCAGGCGGACGCCGTGCTGGACTTCAACACCATGTCGGAGATCATGGAGAGCGGCTACACGCGCATCCCGGTGTACGATGAGGAGAGGTCCAACATCGTGGACATCCTGTATGTCAAGGACCTGGCGTTCGTGGATCCGGACGACTGCACCAACCTGAAGACCATCACCAAGTTCTACAACCATCCGGTGCACTTCGTGTTTCACGACACGAAGCTGGACACCATGCTGGAGGAGTTTAAGAAAGGTGAGTGTTCCAGTGAGGTTGTGTGTGCATGCTGGTGTGTGTGCCCATCATCACATCATCAAACACACAGAGCTGCCTGTCTGCATTGATCAATAACACCAACCTACATTCACAAATGGACTCACAGTGGCATTAAAAGTGGGAATGCACTATATGATGCATAAGGGCACCATGTTAGAGGGGGCGCCAGAAAAAACAACATTTTCTTTATTTGACAGCTGCCTGTGCATTGAAAACCCCTGAGGGTGCATATAATGTATCTGCTTACACCTCATAAAGTACTTTTCTGTGGCCTCATTATTGTCACCAAAACATTTGCATAGGCTAGACCAGGCCAGTTTGGGGTGCCACAGCTAAGAAAAATGTGATTAATCTGAAATTTATTCAGATTTATCACATTTCTCATCAAGAACTATTGATAGGAGAACACTGAACTGTTGTGGAAAGGAAAACTAAGACCTAATATCTGCCCAAGTGCAACGTTTGCATCTCTGCCAAACTGTCTTGGCAACAACCGTATGGTTAGATTTCTCATATCACGTGACCACTGATCATTTCTGATCAGATTCCGCTTTTCACAATGAAAACATTGAACTTTCAGTTTACGATACTTTCCATAAGAAAATACAATGTCACCAACTATTTACACCGAGCTTAGCTTTGTTTTTATGTTATTTTCTCTTTAAAAATGACTCACTCATTGACCAACATGTTACTGTGTGATAGTAACACCTCTGACTGAGTTGTTTCAGCTCTCATTCATGGTCTGGAGTTCAAGTTCACATCTGCACATTGTTGACAAAACAATAACAGCAAATCTGGAGGTAATATTTTCACCTAAAACCCTAAACATTCACTTCATGACCCATTAAAGAAATGCGTGAGCTATTTAGTAGTTTTCGTAACCTTTCATTAGTATGAAGTAGGGCTGTTGTAAACTAATATTTTAGTAATTGAGTAATCTATCGATTATTC